ATAAACATAATGTTTAGCAATGTGCACGTAGCAACTAGGGACCCTAAATATATTGTATGGCGTCTACTAACCTAATGTGATTCAATCATTATATTCAATATTTGTGTTGGTTGTAACTTCTCGTTTATTATTTTATTAATTAATAATAACTAGTAAAATGTTATGCATTTCGTGATTAAATAATTGTTCAATGAGATAATAGTAAAAATTATAAAGAGAAAAAGATGATATAAATAATCAATAAATCATTACAAAAAAATATATATATAATCAAAAAGCAATTATTAGTATTTAATAACAATAACTAGTCAAAGACCTTGTGGTCAAGCGGTATCATTATAACTCTCTCAAATGAAATGTTACAAATTTAAATCCCAGTAGGAGAGGGGATAGTGATTTTTTGTGCTTCAATCAGTTGAGAAAGTATGTACACACAAAATAGTTTAATCCCCAACCTGAAGGGAAGAAAATTGAAGCTGTCCGAAAAGTCATATTCTGCTTATTAATTGATTTAATTCTATCCCCACGTCTCCTCATTCCTAACCTCATGTGGTCTTGCAACTTGGCACAATTCTCTTCCCCTCTTTTAATGTGAAAATGGCATTTTGTAAAATATACGTAATAACAACCATGAATGTAAGACTAAACTTATTTTATCCCCACGTCTCCTACTTCCTATCCTCATGTGGTTTTGCAACTTGGCAGTGTTGGAAATTTATATAGTAATAGAGATTAATGTTTTAGATGAATTACTATAAAAGCTTAAATAATATTTGGAGTTGTGGAGTTATAAATATTATTTTAGTTTTTTTTTTTTTGAAGGAAACCTTGCGTGGCCATTTTATAGATAAACCAGAATAGAGTCAGGGGGAACTCTGTCCCAATACAAAGCTGTGGACTGTTCTGAAACTGTAGAAGCTAAAGTATGAGCTAATAAATTCTGCGATCTAGGAATAAAATTAACTGAGCAAAAATCAAAAGTACTAATGCAAATCTTGCAGGCATCAACGACATAGCCGATGTATGAAAATATCAAATGATCCAGTTTTTGTTTCTTGATGTTTTCTGTAATTTTATTGTATCTTGCATGTATTACAAAATACAAGCACTTTTTTCAACAGGCCGGCACAATTCTCTTCCCCTCTTTTAATTTGAAAATGTTAGCCACCACAACATTTTGTAAAATATACGTACGTAATAACAACAATAAATGTAAGACTAAACTTTGGCCACTAAAATATGAACAAATTATATTTGACATAAGAACAATGGCATAAAATTAATATCAGACTAATCTAAATTTAATTCAAATCGAAGTTCTGATTAAAAATTTTTTAACATGACATATTTTTATAAAAACATAATCATTCGACATTATTGGTCGGAAACAACGTTTTCGTCCAACATATCGACCAAAAGAAAGGTTCGGAAAAACCTCTGTGGAAAATTCCGTCCAACAACAATTTTTGGTCGGAAATAGTGTCCAACAAACAAAAATTGGACAGAAATTCCGGTGAGTAACCCACCATTTTTAAAACGTGAGAATTTCCGTCCTATTACGTGCGTTGATCGGAAATTCCACCCAACTACGTGCGTTGGTCGGAAATTCCGACCAATGTTGGACAGAAAACTCACATATTATATTTTGTTATTTTGCTTCCAATTGTTTACCAACCAACACTACAGGTTGCTCAGAATTTCCGTCCACCCATCTTTAGTGTCAAAAAGTTGAAATTTTTATTAAAATACCGACCAACTTACGGTTGGACGGAAATGTAGGACGGAAATAGCGAAATTTCCAGCGGTGTATCAATTGTGAGAAACCATTTAGGGGGGTGTATTCAATCATGACGTTCATAGAGTTTTAAAGACTTTTAAGAACTTTAAAATTTTGGAGGTATTCAATTCAAACTTTTAGAGAGTCTATAAAAGTCAGGCAGTATTCAAAACAATTTTTGCACTTGCAAATTTTAGTATATGTTTCATAATATTCTTTTAAATGCTTACATATTTTTATTTTTATTCTTTTTATGTTTATATTCGTAATATATATTTTTCCTTTTTTTTTTAACAACAGGTTACTACGAATAGTGAACTACTGTTCGCAACAACAATTTGGAGTTGCAAACAGTAGCACCTTGTTCACTACTGGAAATTATGAAATTTCCGATCACCTGAAAATGATCTTAAATCAAGTCGAAAGCCTTGTTCCGACCACTTTTGGTATCCGGAAAAACCTTTGTTGCTATTTCCGACCACTTTTTGGTATCAACTTGATTTAAGATCACTTTCAGGTGGTCGGAAATTCTATAATTTCTAGTAGTGCGTTGTTGTTCGCAGTCTCAAATTGCTATTGCAAATAGTAGTTCTTTGTGTGATGCCTAGCAATATATCAAGTATAATTTTTTTTTTATATATATTATTAATATTAGATTTTTTTTTTATTTTATGCAACTTATAATTATATTTTTAAATATTTTATTTGATCAATTCTTTTATTATAATTTTTATTGTTCAATATTGTTATGAATTTCTAATGAAATACTCCGTAGTTTTTTTTTGTTGATGTTTATTAATAATATATATAAGTAATTAGCATATAAGTCTCAGCATGCTATGGATAAAAATAGTAATGTTGCGAATGTTGATGTGGGTGAAGTACTATATAATAAGAAAAATTTTATGATATATTATAAATGTTCTGTAAGAAAATTATAAATGATAAGAATCAAAATCATTGAAAGTTTGTAAGGATGTATTCAATTTAGAATTTCAATGACTTTTGTAAACTTTTTAAAATAAAAAGTTGATAAAAGTCTATGAATGTTTTTTATATACACTTTTATAGAGTCTTATAAAGTTTTAAAAAGTTTTGAACGACTCTATGAAAGTCAATCAAAGTTTATTAAAATCTATCATTTTAAAAGTCTTTAAAACTCTACAAAAGTCATGATTGAATACATCCCCCTTAGTTATTTCTTTAAATCAATGTTGCAGAAGGTGTTAGGTGATAATTGGACGGTCTAGTAATTCGAGTATATTGGCCCTGTTTGGTAAAATAGTTAGTCTATATACCAATTTTGGCTTATTTGACCATTATTAGCTTTTTAATTTGGTTAAAATTCAATAGAAGTGTTTGATTAATTGTTTTTTTGTAACTTCAAAATGTTAAAATTCAAAAAGATGCTCAAAACAACTTTTTCAATTAGTTTTTTGAGAAAATAAATTATACTAAACAGCTATCAGCTAACAACTAATTTGCCAAACACGTTTCTACAATCAGCTAATGTTATCAACTAGTTATACCCTCTAATTAACCCAATCAGCTAACCGCCATTTACCAAACAGGGCCTTGTCTCCATTTTTCTCACTCATGGCTGTGAGTTGTTAGACTATTATTATAATCCCTCATATTACTCAACTACATATGTTAGATGATTAGTTGAGTATATGATATATGACTAGAGGAATACATAAGAGAAGCAGTAGGGCGTCGACTCAGCCGAGTTAGCTGCCTAACTCAGCATCTAGAGTACTTAGGCGGCCAGTTAATCAACCAGTTGACTAAAAGCCGTCTAAGGCTAAAATTGCCTCATCCTAGAGGCCCCTAACGCCTAGTCATCGTCTAGATCAAATTTTACACCACTACTTTAAATTGGAGATTTTTCACTCAAATTGAGCAAATGTTTGGGAGTGCTTTACGCCTTCATATGCATTAAGCATGGAACTATTACTCAATTTTAAAAAAAAATAATGACAATACTTATGAAACTCCAATACGTACGTACTAACAGGGGGCAACACACCAGTTTTCTTATATAATAAATTAAACACAACTTGACAATATTACAGTTTTTATAAATAATTCAACAGTGACATCCATTTATCAAAGATGCTTATTGAATACTTAAAACATCAACAAACTTTTTCTCAAAAAAAAAAAAAAAAAAACATCAACAAACTTTGTGCACTTTTACACACTTAATTTCAATTAATTTTTATATAAAATTAAAATTTTTTATGAGATCAGATATTTATCGCTCGAATATAACTTGAGATTAAAAAGGACGATGGTCAGACGCAATGTAACCTCCATCCTCTTTGTAACATGAGAGTTGCAACTTACATTATATTGGTTTTATCATGATAGATATAAAACAATAATAAAGTATAGCAAAGAATATACCTTGACAATAGCGAATGTCATCTGATAAGCATATGTCATTCTGTACCAAATTTAAAGGGCATCATGATGACATCAAAAAATTACAATGGTGATGGTAATGAAAATCAAATCTTTGGTAATGATAATGAGTTAAGTAGAAGGAGTCATGCATTTTGTTTGGTAGTAAATATGAATTGAAATCAAAATAAATAAATAAATAATTAAAATAAATAAATATAATACAAATATATACACACTTACCAAAAATAAAAAATAGTGAACAACATCAATTGATCGAGAGAATGAAAAAGGATTTTGAGCTACTTTAATATTGTCTTACAAGACCATATATCATGTAACTTTGGAAAAAAAAAAAAAAAAAACACACATATGTTATAATTATTTGAAGACAATAGCAAAGTCAATTTGGACCAATTGACCTACCTTTTGAAGAAATTCATATGCATTGTTGATGTGACAAATAAGCTAAAGTATTGTATTCGATCTCGGTATACGATATCGGGTAGCTGAATATGTGATTAGACGTTCCTGAGCTTAGGTTTAGTGTCTAGTGAAAGTTTCAAAAGTCCATCTTTCAAGCACTATTAGAAGAAGATGGTAGTTGAGGCAGTTAACAATCATTACAATTGTTAGTTAGGATATTTTCCATGTTATCACATGTGTATACAAGCTTGTATGTAAACCAGTCTGTTAGCAGTTCATACACTCACCAATGTAACAGTACTCCATTCTAGTGAAACCAGATGTGTTAGTTTTTCTTCCTTTCATCAGTTCTCTCATTTGTAATATGGTATCGGAGCGATAAGCAGAGCTCATGGCTTGGAACGGCGCATCGATCAGACCACCTGGTGTTGGAACGGCTCCACCAGCATCAGCAGCAGGAACTGCAACTCCTCCACCCCCAGCACCAGCGAATGTCATCCTTACTGGAGCGAATTTCGATCCAAACGACGCAATCAGTCCCTATTTCCTACATCCAAGCGAGAATCCCTCGCTGGTCTTAGTCTCGTCTGCTCTCAATGGCCAGAATTATCATCCTTGGGCCAGGGCGATGGAGATGTCACTACTATCCAAGAACAAACTAGGGTTTGTCGATGACACGATTCCGGTACCAAATGTAGGTGAAGTGAGGTATCCCTATTGGAGGAGGTGCAATAACATGGTGGCGACTTGGATCATGCGAGCTGTTTCTCCAGAAATTGCGTCGACAGTCCTCTGGATTGGGTCAGCTTAACGTATATGGAGCACACTGAAAGCCAGGTTCAGTGAGGCAGACATCTTTAGAATTTCCGATCTACACGCCGAAATTCATCAAACTAGGCAGGGTGATTTGACTGTAAGTGCCTATTTTACCAAGTTAAAGAACTTATGGGATGAACTTCAGGTCATTAGGCCCTTGCCAACATGCAAGTGTGATAGAATGTGTGATTGTGAGCTGCTGGATACTTTGCAGCAACACTTAGAAAATGATAATCTCTCAGTTTTTCTAAGAGGCCTTAATGAGACTTATGTTTCTGTTCAATCCCAAATTATGATGACAAAACCTCTCCCAACTGTTGATGAGGCATTCATGATGGTCCAATAGTAAGAAAGAAGGTTTAATAATGGGGTGACAAGGATGCAAATTCAAGAAGCAGGCAGTGTCCTACTTATATTACCCAAGGCAACAATACAGGTTCCAAGAAATTCTATTCCAATGGCGACAAGAAGCCTGTCTGTTCATACTGTGGCTTTACTGGACATGTTGCAGAAAAGTGCTACAAGAAGAATGGTCATCCACCTTGTTAGAAACCAAGAAACAAGGGTGTTGGTTTTGCTAATCAGGTTGCAACCAACACTAATGAGCATTCATTTAATGAGGGCACTGTGCATGTTGATACTGGATCTGTTAGTCTGAGTCAAGATGAATACAGGTTGATGAAATATCTCTTGCAGAGGGATAGCATGGCTCACCAATCACCTTTGAGTGTGAGTGGAGGAGTGACACCCCATGCTAACTTGATTGCTACCAACTTTGCTCTCAATCCACAGTTTGAAGGTATTCACTCTAGACTCTCTTCTGAAAACAAGGTTAGTTGGATACTTGATAGTGGTGCCACCCATCATATTGTCTATCAACATAGCATGTTAACAAATGCAAAAGGGGTTCAAGGTATGTTTGTTGAATTACCTAATGGTGATAAAGCTAATATCACACATATAGGGTCTGTACATGACAGTTTGGTTCTGAAAAATGTGTTATGTGTGCCTGCATTCCATTACAACTTGATTTCTATCAGTGAATTAATTAAAACCTCCAAGTGCAAAGGTGAAGCCAGGGCACTAGTTCAAGGTTTTTGTACTTTTGTTGTGACACAGTTTGGAAAGATGGTTAAGTGTGTAAGAACAGATAATGGATAAGAGTTCAAGATGGACAAGTTCTACCAAGAGAAGGGAATACTTCATCAGACAACATGTGTGTATACACCTCAACAGAATGGTGTAGTTGAGAGAAATCATGGACATATCTTGGCAGTAGCAAGGGCACTAAAATTCCAAGCAGGGCTATCAGATGGATCATGGGAAGATTGCATATTGCATGCAGTTTATATCATCAACAAGCTACCTTCAACAGCTCTGCAAGGCCAGATTCCTCATCAGATCCTATTTAGTAAGGCACCCCAATACTCTTATCTCAAAGTTTTTGGGTGCTTGGCCTTTGCTGTCATGCACAAAGGACACCAAGGAAAGTTTTCACCTACAGCTAGAAGGTTCCTGTTTATTGGATATCCTAATGGAGTAAAGGGTTATAAGCTCTATGACCTAGATTCCAGGGAAGTTTTTATGTCAAGAGATGTTTTTTTATGAGCATGTGATTCCCTATAAGGTAACAAACCAGGTTAATGAACAAGGATCATCCCAGGATCTAATTCTACCAAGTGACACCAACAATATGGAAGACATTTTTCCCCAAAGGGCTATTCAAAGGGAAGAAACAAGGGATTGCATGTGTTGATCCTGCAAAACCAAATGATCTCCCACCTGATCTAGAGTAGTCTGATCCCATTCCAGTTCAACCTAGGAGGTCCAACAGACAAGTGTCTAGACCTGCATATCTCAATGACTATGATTGCAATCTGCCTAACACTAGAACCTCTCCTCACACTCTTTCATATGTGTTGTCTTACAAAAAGGCTATCTCCTGTTTTCAAAGCCTTTGCTACCAACATCCTCAATATTCAAGAGCCTAAGTCCTACAATGAAGCCATCAAACATGACTGCTGGAAGGCTGCTATGCAGGCTGAAATAGATGCCCTACATGCCAACAACACATGGGAGCTAACCACACTTCCACCCTCCAAACAACCAATAGGGTGCAGATGCGTCTACAAGGTGAAACACAAGGCTGATGGGACTGTGGAAAGGTGCAAGGCCAGGTTAGTTGCAAAAGGATATACTCAGACTTGTGGAATAGATTATGTTGACACTTTTAGCCCAGTGACAAAAGTTACTACTGTTAGAACCCTGCTCACTGTGGCAGCAGCAAGAGGATGGCAGTTGCATCAACTTGATGTCAATAATGCCTTCTTGCACGGAGATCTTAAGGAAGAAGTGTACATGATCCTTCCCCCAGGGTTTGTTCTTGAGTAGCCCGGGCAAGTGTACAAACTAAAAAGGTCATTCTATGGCCTAAAGCAAGCAAGCAGACAGTTGAATGCTAGGCTAACTACTGAGCTGATCAGCATGGGGTTTAAACAAGCTGTATGTGATAACTCCCTTTTCACTAGGGGATCTAATGATAGTTTCATTGCCCTCCTAGTATATGTGGATGATGTTGTCTTAGCCAGCAGTGACAAAGCTCAAATCTAGTGGATCAAAGAACATTTACGTTCAATTTTCAAAATCAAGGACTTAGGAAGCTTAAAATATTTCCTGGGATTGGAAGTTGCTAGGAAACACACAGGCATATCCTTGACACAAAGGAAGTATGCCCTGGATCTTCTACAAGATTCAGAATTCCTTGAAAGTAAACCTGCAAAATGCCCTATGGTACAAATAAACAAACTTTCTAAAGATGATGGTGAAGTCTTGGAAGACAACACTCAATACAGAAGATTAGTGGGAAAACTCTTGTATTTGACCATCACTAGACCTGATATTAGTTTTGTTGTGAAGTAGTTATCTCAATTCTTAGACAAACATACTACTATCCATCTACAAGCAGTCCATAGAGTATTGAGGTATATCAAGAGTTGTCCTGGACAAGGGTTGTTTTTTCCTACGGATTCCAATTTGAAAATGAGTGGTTTTGCTGATTCAGATTGGGCAGCTTGTCCTGATACAAGAAAATCTGTAACTGGTTTCTGTATTTTCTTGGGAAATGCCTTGGTTTCCTGGAAGTCAAAGAAGCAGAATACTGTATCCAGATCATCCTCTGAAGCTGAATATAGAGCCCTTACTCTTGCGACCTGTGAAATACAATGGTTGTTCTATCTTCTTGAAGCCCCTGAGGTCCAATTAGGAGAGGCAGTTGTGCTGTTTTTTGATAGCAAATCTGCTATTGCAATAACAAAAAATCCTGTCCTTCATGAGAGGACTAAGCACATAGAAATAGATTGTCACTTGATAGGAGAGAAGGTTAAAAAATGAAGCATAAAATTGTTGCATGTTCCTATTGAAACCCAGACAACAGATATCTTAACTAAGCCCTTACAGCCAATGCTATTTCAGAAGTTTGTGTCCAAGCTGGGGCTCCATTCCATGTACACTCCAGCTTCCGGGGGGGGGGGGTGTTAGAAGAAGATGGTAGTTGAGGCAGTTAACAATCATTAGAATTGTTAATTAGGATATTTTCCAAGTTGTTATCACATGTGTATATAAGCTTGTATGTAAACCAGTCTGTTAGCAATTCATACACTCACCAATGTAATAGTACTCCATTCCAGTGAAACCAGATGTGTTAGTTTTTCTTCCTTTCATCAGCTCTCTCATTTGTAATAAGCACTAAATGCGCCTTTTATAAACATCCGGAGGAGACACATGCCGAGAGCTCGGCATGTTAACCATGTGTCTCACATGCACCCGTAGGTGACTCCAATAGGTCCACGTGCAGTGAGATTCCTGATATCTGTTTTATCATGAAGTGAATGGTCAAGACGATTTGGTTATATTGGTCTGTTAATAACGAGGACTCAATGCACAGGAAAGGATTCATGATCGTACATCGTCGTGAATCTCGTTTCGACAGGTGAAATGAGCCCTTTACCAACCTGTTGAGGCATCTTTTGACTAGGCTCGGGTTGGGTAGAACACAACGTAGCTGAATCTGCTCGGAAAAGGGACCTCTCGATCTCCTCCCCGAATACCGAACACATGCAAAGACATATGGGGAGAATATAATCCCGGCCTATCAATTGTTAAATACCAATAAATCATAAGTTTGAAATCTCTTTGAATTGAAGTTGTAGTATATAAAAATCCAGCCAACAAATCCAAGAAAATAAAGCTAGCAACCTAGCTAAACATTTATTGCCACATGCAACAATAAGTCTCATGGTGAAAACCTATGTTACTTTGCCCAAGCACACAACATATATGAATTATATATTCACCTCTGTCCATGAATATGGAAATAGTAGCAGCCTGGGCAAACTCCCATTATACACCACTGGTTCTATAAGCAATAACAACTCAATTGGTCACAGAGGTGAAATTTGGAAACAATAATGACCCTGCATAATTTAGCCTAGTTAATTATAGTAGTCATTAATTAGTAATTGAGTTTGAAAAAAAAATAGTAATTGAAGTTAATAGAATTATTTAACACATTTCACGTTTTCATTGTAACAATTGTTACGAGGAGAAGAGTGTAATTATTTATTTTACTGAAAATATTCGTTGAATAGTTGATATTATACTCCTAATAAATAAACTATACACTTTCTAAAAAAAATGAATTATTTTTATTATTTTTAAATATACATACATATATATTTTTTTGAAAGCCAGTTATTTACATACATACATGTATATTTACATATACATGTATGTATATATATATATATATATATATATATATATATATATATATATATATATATATATATATATATATATATAGTCAAGGGTTCTGGTGCGGGTGGCACTGTTAGGTGCGGTTGTGCGGTTGCGTGGATGCCGTTCGTTTTTAATGAGCGCAAATATCCTGACCGTTGATCTGAAAGATTGAAATTCGCGTACTTTTAAATGAATTCGCGTACTGAGGGACAAATTAGTAATTTTGATTAAATTAACTTTCATCGCTGTTATATATCGTCGTTCGCATTCCCGTCGCCGTTGTTTTTGCTTTTCAAAGAATCTCCGAGTTGTCTATCGTTTCTCGATCGTTTAGCATTGCGATGTCCATTGTTTTTGCTTCCAATTCTTTTTTCAATTTTCTGTTGTTATATAGTATGTTGTTATCGTGGATATAGATTTTATTTCAGAAATTTGATCTACTTTATCTGGTTATGAAAATGGAGAACGATAAGTTATATTTTTGAAGCACATTGTGTATTACATCTACGCATAGTAAGAGTTAGACGGACGGATGTTAATTAATGAGAT